AAGCTGCTCAGTAAACTTCATGCAACATATGGCAATACACGTCGCCCCCAGCCAAGAACAATGCAGCCACGCCTACCAATCTAATAATGTTATATTCAATCATTAGTGGAGAATATTTATTCAGAAGGATACTAGTACCTCAATTTAGGTGTTCTAATGTACTTTTTGTTTTTTGTTTCCTTTTTCTTGTCTATACAAAGGCTATCTTACATGTCTTAGAGCAGTTGTAATCCAGCTGTTATTCTACTGGAAAATGCGTCCAACACTTTCTTTTCTTTTTTTTCCCCAATCCTTAAACGAGGTTTCTCCAGCCATGTATTGTTCAATTCTTTGCCACAACCAGATGTGGATTACACTTGATAGGTGCCTCTTATATTATTATTATTAAGAAGCAATTCATTTAATTGAAATCGCTTTCATTTTGATTTGAGGCATATTATATGGCAGGACGTTCTTTCAATATTGGATTCTTTTTTGGATGTCACAGTTTGAATAGCAGACACTAAATTTCCAACTTTTGATCTGATGTTGCTGGATATGGGGCATGATGACCCAAATCATCCGGTGGTGAACAAGGCTGCGACTCTGATTGCTTTTGTTGAGGTGGAAAAGATTTCAACATTGTGAGGCAATCAAGAATGCAAAACCAATATTTACAATGAATGAGAAATTAATATTTTTTTACCTCCACTTCTCATAATATATGTATTAAAAAGACCATCCTACAACATCATTTTATTTGCTCTGTTTTTAACCCCCAAAACAGAGACATGCAGAGCTGTATATAGTTGGACGTTGTGAGATTTATTAGTCTACAGAGAGACCAGTACCCCGATTGATTTTGGGTGATTTTATTTTTATCAAATTTATTTGTTAGAAATATATTCTTTCCGTGGTTCACAATATGCATTACTACTCTTGTAGCTGATGCCATTGTTTGTGAAACTGTAAACTTGCACTTTGCAGAGTAAGTTTTTGGATGAGTTTAATTTTTGATTGGGATGAAAAATATATACATGGCAGGCAAGACTTACCAGATTCGTGTTCATAATGTGGGATGTTCAACTTCTTTGAACTTTTAGATTTCAAAATCATCAAGCACTATATGAAAAGCCTTCTGAGTTACTGAACCTTTCTCCTTTCATCTATCATTGTTCATCTGTTTCAAGGTCATCTTATCTATGAATTTGTTACTCTTCAGTCAAAAAGTTGCCGCTAGCTAGTTACCACTCTGGGTGCATTTCGGGAACCCTGTAGGATAGTGTTGAATGTAAAATTGTTTGACTTCCATTCTGAACTGTGAAGCAATATGATCATGCGGAGACCTTATCCCATTTCTGACTCCATAAGCTCCATAAAGTCTATATCCGTTTATGTTTGTTTCTTTATTGTGTTTTGTTCTCTCTGCTTCTCATCCCTCTATGGGTGTGTGGGAGGCTGGGATGAAGGTTTTGGACTGCGCAGGGATTCACATCTGCAAATGGGAAGACAACACTTGCCATTGGCTGGGCAACACAATCAGAAGGAATCTGGTTAATATGGTTTTGACGTTTTGATTACAAAGTTGCCTTTATCTTTGGAGTTCTGCCTTATTGTTTAGCAAGTTATTTTCCTGGTTGAGATTATGAAAAATAGCATTCTGGCGTGGGGGAATTCTAGTTGCCCGGCAACTCCATTAGGCTTTTTCCATCCATGTATTGTCCAATTCTTGTCTCATTTTTCTTTATTTGAACTGTTGAGGCCATTCTTTTTTCCCGTTATCAAGAAGGAAGGGTATGTTTAGATTAGCATTGGACAAAACTAACTTCTAGACCAACTAACTTTTGTAACTAAAGTTAGAGTAAAAGTCAGTTAGAGTATGTTTGGAGAGGTACTTTTAAAAAGTCAGTTGAAAAAGTTAAAAGTTGTTTGGATGATTAATAGAAAAGTTAGTTTAGTTGTAAAATGACTGAAAAAGACATAAACTTTATTAAATAGTAATATTTGAAATTTTATATTTTTAATGTGATAATAGTTTTAAAAAAATACATAAAATTATTCTGATAAAATATAAATAGTTTATTTGTGAAATTATAAAATAAAAATATTTGTTATGGAGAAAAATTTGAAAACACATTGTAGATAATTAATTAAATATACATAATAGACAAATGTGAATATAAATTAAAATTCATTTGGTCTGAATAAAAACTTATTATACTAACAAAGCAGATGAGACAGAGTAAAAAAATGTGAGGACCTGCTTAAATAAAAAATAATTAAATTATTACCAAAGAAAAATATCATATTATTGCATTACGGTAGAACCTACTTAAATACCATTATCATTATTTTTATCTTCATTCTTTATCTCTCCACGTTATAAACGGCAAAAGCTAATAGAGAAGTTTTTTCAGCTAGCGTTCAAAAATAAGCAACTTTTGCTTATAAATCAGTTGCAAAAGCAGCACATCCAAACATGCATTTTCACTCAAATAAGCTGGTAACCTCAGTTACACCCTTCCCAAGGCGCTTTTGACTTTTGTAACGACAATCCAAACGTAGCCGAAATTATCCCCATTTCTGGCACCATCAGATGTGGATAATGTCCTTCCGACTGATCACTGGTTTATTCATAATCAGAAAGTTCAAAATTTTCTCGTGCTAATTTTGCGCGGCTTTGTTTTATTTTGTTCGTATTGCTAGGTGATGTTTGTCCTCATTAGTTTCTTTTTTCTTTTGTGTTTCTTGTAAATTTTAGGTCCTGCAAGCGAAACTTGATGTTGGAAGGGGCCTTACCTATGCAATACCACTCTTGTAGCTGATGCTATTGCGTGTGAAACTATAAACTAGCACTTTGCAGAGTAAGTTTTTGGATGAGTTTAAATATTGATGCGGATAAAAAATATGTACATGGCAAGCAAGACTTACCAGATTTGTGTTCATGATGTGGGAAGTTCAACTTCTTTGAACTTCCAGAATTCAGAATCATAATCTACTCGTGGTAGAAGTGAAGGGTCTTTACACACAGATCAGTCCAATCATCAATCAATAAACTAAAGAAAAATTGAATAATTTACTATTGTTTCTGCAATGTTCTCTCCAACCGCTTCAGCCCCGTTGCATTACGCAATGCCTGCTGAATTACAGAACCTTTTCCCTTCATTTATCATTGTTGCTTTGGATAAACTTTGGAATTCAAAATTAATGTTGAATTCCAAATTATTTGAATTCCATTCTGAAATAAGACTGGGACGTGGGGATCATTCACACTCATGGAGAGGCACTGAAATGTGCTGATTATCTCACAAAAACTGCGCATTGCAACTGCAGGTAAATGGTTTATATTCAGGATCCTCCAAGCTTCAGTGGAGAGTTTTTACCCCAGGATGCTATTTTTATCCCATCCTTAATATGGTGTCTACTCAGTCTGTTTCTCCAAGCTTAGCTTGCCTTGTTATTCCCAAAAAAAATGGAAGCAATATGATCACACAGAGACCTTATCGCATTTCGTACTTCATCATCTCCATCAACCCTCCATGTTTATCCATATCCGTTAATGTTGTTTCGTTAATGTGTTCTTTTTTGTTTTGTTCTCTCTACTTCCCTTCTCATCCCTCTGTGGGTGGGTGTCTGGCTGTGATGAAACTTTCAGACTGTGCGGGGATCTACATCTGCAGATGGGAGACAATACTTGACATTGGTTGAGCAATACAATCAGAAGGCCACTGGTTAATATGGTTTTTACATTTTGTTCACAATCTTGCTTTTGCATTTTGAATTCTGCTTTTTTGTTTAGAAAGTTATTTTCTTGGTTGGGATTATGAAAATAGATTTTCCTGGGCAGGGGAGATTCTGGTTGGCCAATTTATCTATGAATTCCCTTCCCTATATCTATGAATGCTGTAGAAAGGGAAAGCTCATCAGCTTCATCCTGTAATAAGTCGACAAGGGTCCCAGTTGAGAAGCCTTTTTGCTATGATTCTGACAGAGGATTATATTTTCTTGCTTTATAGTTAAATCATGGAATAATTACAGATATTATGCAGAACCGTCTACTTCAAATATGATGGTATTATATAAACTGCATCTATGGAGGCTCTATCATTTCATTATTTGTATTTATCAGTTTCTGAATATCTTTCGCATACACCCGCAACAAATCTAGCTTTCACTACTTGAAAGTGTGCAGATAGAGTTTTCTGGTCTTAAGGTATGTATATAGTGGCATTCACAATTTGGCGTTCCTTCAAATCCTTATGGTGAAAACTGGAAAGAAAATTTTGAATGCAAATCTGTGTTTGCTGTACCTGTTAGATAAACCAGCTAGCAGTCTAGCACATTCCCGTGCAATGAATTTTGATCAGTTATCAAGGTTTTTCAGGTGCACCTAGAACTAATTTAGCTTTTACTTTCTGCTTGCCAAAGTATTGAACCAAGGTTGAGTAGAAGCTGGCTAGCGCATTGTTTTACTTCCATTTTGTTATATACTACTTCTAGTCCTTAATATAAGAGCTAATTTGACTTTTAATTTAATCCTAAATATAAGACCCCAATCTACTTTTTTTCTCAGATTTATTCATTTTTCCTAAAGTAGTCCTTATAGTAGTTGCATATGTTAAAGATTCCATCAAATGGTAGGTCTAACTAATACACATAATTAGCAAGGGTATTCTAGAGAAGACAACACATATGTATCACAAATAACTAAGTTAATGAACTTTTTTAATCTATTTAAATTGATCAACTAGATCTTATATTAAGGATCATGGGTAGTATTATTAACTTAACCTTTTTAAACTTTATAGCACATGGATGATTATATGTTACCAAGTCTTGCAGGTTGATGGCATGCAGAGCACAATTTTCGTTTCTTTTCCCCCAAAATGTAATAAGTTTTAATTTCATAATTTGCATTTTCGATGGAATTGCTGTTCGTTTACATTTTCGCATTGTGTAGAAAATCATGGCCATGAGAGCACCTCTAGAGCTAATATCGATACGCCTGAAGCTTTTACAGGTCAGTACTCTTTGCTTTGATCTTCAATATTTGCATATGTGATATTAGTAATGTGCCATCAGTCCTAATGGGTTTATTTTTACAGGGCATGCTTGAAATTTTTCTGCTGATCAGATATCAATACTTTGGTAAAAAATGAGAAGGTTATTATGCATCATTTTTGGAATTAATTGCCAGGTTTCCTTGACCTAATTTTCACTTCTTGCATAATATCACGCCATCTCCATTTAGAGGGCACAATTTGCTGAACATACTATGCTTTTCTCCTCCTTTTAAAGATTTTATGGTTTCCTTGAAGGTTTTCTCAATTGACATATGGGTATAAGTCATTGCTTTCTTATTTCCATGTGCAATAATGTTATCTTTGCATGTTCAATTGTTTCACTTGGTTTGGTTTTCTTAGTAATTTTCTAACCACATTCTCTCTCTTTGTGAATTATTTCATTTTCATTCGCAAAGGTATAAGTTATAACTTCATTTCTTTATCATCATTACTGCGTGCGCAGGGATAATGTAAATTGGATTTTCTTTTTAGCTTCTTCTTTTAATTCTTTTTTCCCAATCTGGAATAATAATTTTGTAAGCTATCTTTTGTTTTCCTTAAATCGGGCACTCGACCAGACTGTAACTTCTCAATGGATCTCTGAACTTCATAGCATATTGGAATTAATGAAGTATCATGCCACCTGGGAACAACTACTCTTGTTACGTTGTTATTGAATAGATTATATTTCATCCTCTAGAAGGCTATCTAACCCTTTGCAGTTGAAGTTTTCGTAATAGCTTGAATATATACTAGGATTAAAAATGTATATGGCACGCAAGACTTTTTAGATTTGTGTTCATAATATGGAAAATTTGAATTATTTTGCAGTCTAGAATTGAGAATCATAGTCCACTTATAGTAGAAACTGTGGAGCACTTCACAGGTCAATCAAATTGTGATATTCATGTTGGCCTGGTTTCAACTATGTTTGGTAGCACTGCAAATGCTAGCTTTGTTAATCACTCATTGTGGCGGAGGCCCATACATATTGTGACACAGCTGCTGGGTTTAGTCAGACCCATAAAAGGAAAGTCAAAGGGACACCAGGGTCAGGGATACTTTTGTCACTTTATGTTGTTGCTTGCATTTTGGTGTCTGTTTCTCTTGTGGGGCACTATGTTTATATTTGGAGAGGATTGGCCTCTGGAGTGTTCTGTTCATTGTATTTCTTGATTGTAATAGGGAATAGGATTTTGATTAGAATCAGTGAAGTCCCTATTGTAACGCTGATTCTGTTCTTAGATATTAATATCAATATCTCAGCATTTTCCTTTGACCCGCACTCAGTTTCTGCTATTTCCAGTATATCCGCACAGGTTCCTATCATGTTGCAGTTATACTACTCCAATTTCAAGCAAGGGGTCGGAACACTTAATATTACTTAATTTTCATTTTTGGCTCTGCTCGTGTTTTGGATCTGAAGACTTTTCTGTTTCTGAACTTTGGGCTTTCTAAAATCAACTGCAGGTCAGAACTAACTTGAGCTGATTTTGATTGTAAAAAGTAGATTGGTGACTATTGAGCTCATCACATAACAGTTAGTCAAAAGTTGCCTAGATCCTTCCCTTTATATTTCGCACATATGCTAGCATATGAGATATTGGGATATGAACAGACTTAAGAGACACATATTATGAAGTACAAATGTGTTGGCCAAAAAAGAAAAAAAAGTACAGGTTTCAATTATGGAGTTGTATCCATGTTTTGACACATACTGGATGGCACATGACATTGCAACTATAGATACTTTAATTTCATGCCTGGTACCTTTTGAGTGTTTGTTCCTTTTAGTAAATATTATCTCTGATACTTAATATAAGAGTTAGTTCGACATTTAATTTAGTCTTCAATATAAGATCTCAATCCATTTTGCCTCTCATATTTATTCTTTTTTTCTTCCAAAATAGTTTATGTAGTAATTGTACATGTTAAAGGTTCCATCAAATAATAGTTTTTGCTAATACACATGATTAGTAAGGGTATTCTAAGAAAGATAATACATATTTATTATAAATAATTAAATCAACAAATCTCTTTAATCTACTCAAATTAGTCAACTAACTCTTATATTAAGGAATGGAGGTAGTACTAAATAACTAATATGTGGCCGTGCAAAATCATCAACCAATAACAAATGTGTGACTTGAGTAGTTCTGGTACGCGTTGTGTTTGAAGTGTCCGTTTTCCCAGTGAATGGGCATATACTATTTCTTGAAGCACGGATGGCAATACTTGTTTCTCTTTACAATGCCAGAGCATAGAACCTAAGAGCAAAAAACTTGTATTAGCGGTGCCTGGCCAAGAAAAGATATCCAAGTATCTTCAGAAATGTCTAATCTTTTCCAACCCATCACTTGATCAATTTTTTTTGTTTTTACATCAAGTTGTTTGTTCTAATTATAACATGTGAAAGAAAAATCTATAATTTGGCTTCAAATATTTGTCTTTTTAATGGTTGATTTATAGATTTTATCTGTAGGGGGCAAAGCCACTCTTCTGATGCATTGGTTTTTTTGATTTTTTTTATTTTCTCTTTTTGGTAAGATGCATTGGGGTTTTAGACATCCCTAGGAAAGGATTTTTGTGGGTCCAAATTTTCCTTTGGTTTTCTCCAATTTTCTTCGTAACTTAGTTGTTAATGGGGTAAAAAAGATGAATTAATTATTCAACCGGTTTTGATAGTTTTATCTATATATCAATCTTCGTGTCGTGCCCTCAGAATTAATTCTTGCTACATTCTAATGCCTGCATACTCGATTTATATAAATGATACATTCTTTATTTGAGAAAAAAACGTAGGGTTTTCATTTGGACTTTTAATTTGAAAAATAAAAACAAAAATAAAATAGACTGAGTTGACTGAAATAAAGGCTTTTTTTTTTTATAAAAAAGATAATGATGTTTGAGTTACAATTATAATCCCAACACATTGAGTCAATTGAGCAAGTTGACCCAATCGAGCCCACCTAAATATATTCCGCTTACAAATTTAGGAGTCCTGACCTTGATCAGGCAAATCTGAATGTTGGAAACCGCAACAATTATGAATTATAAAGTAAATGACATCAATTCCTTTTAAAGATCTTGCTTGTAGTTTACACATGAGGTCTTATAATTAGGACTGTTTCAGTTGGTTGATTTAGAAAAATTAAAAAAATTACTTTAAAATATTTATATTTATTATTTTTCTCCGAATTAATTTGCCTTACTTGTAATCTAACGATATATATAAGTATTTTAGACAGATCATGCAATATATGTTATAATTAAATAATTTAGTAATTTCTTTAATATCTCAACATTAGTACACTGGTTCTAATATTAAAGATGGCAAGTATTACCTCTGGTCCTTATATAAAAGCTAGTTTAACTTTTAATTTAATTTTAAATATAAGACCTTAATTCACTTCATCTCTTATATTTATCCCTCCCTTTTTTTTGGGCAAAGTAGCCCTTATAGTAGTTACACTTGTTAAAGACTCTATCAAATAATAGTTTTAGCTATTTATTATAAATAATTAACTTAATTAATTTTATTTAATCTCTCCAAATTAAACAACTAGTTTTTATATTAAGGTTGAAGGTAGTAGTGTGTATATATATACATATTATGTGTGTGTGAATCATAAATTCATAAATTGTGCCGCACATCTTACATATCCTTTTATTAAATGCAACATTGCTAACAGAGATCCATGGGATCAAGATTTAGTAATTTCTTTAATCTTTCAAAATTAGTGAACTAGGTCTAATATTAAAGATAGCAAGTACTATTTTCGATACTTAATATAAGAGCTAGTTTAACTTTTAATTTAGTTCTAAATATAAGACCTCAATTTATTTTGTCTCTCATGTTTATCCATTTTTTTCAAAGTAGCTCTTGTAGTAATTGTACATGTTAAAAATTTTATCAAATAATAGTTTTAGCTAATACATATAATTAGTAAAGATATTTTTAAAAAGATAACACATATTTATTACAAATAACTAACTTGATTAATTTTATTTAATCTTCTCAAATTAATCAACTAACTTTTATATTAAGGTTGGGGGTAGTAGTACATATATATGTGTGTATGAATAATAAATTCATAAATTCTGCTGTACATCTTACATATCCTTTTATTAAATGTAACCTTATTAAAAAATATTCGTGGGATCGAGTTTAAGACATATATCAGGAGACTAAAGACCAATTCTTATATTTTGGGCAAAAAAAAGGGACCAATTTTTATACAGTACTGAGCATTTTTTGGAAACAAATTTTGGGAGAAAGACTTCAAATTTCAACTTTTATAAATTATAAAATATTTTAACTGACAACTAGACAAGGGTGTTGGTGAGAAAATAATTTAAAGGAAAAATTCAAAATTATTACAAAAAATTCAACTTAAAAAGTGACAGATAAATTAAAGTCATTGGATCTACAGTGGGCTGAGGCAGCATTAACGAATTGAATATTTTGATCGTATATAAATTATTAATATTGAATGCTTAAGAAAATACAAATTTTTAAAAATAATTATATCATCTTCAAATAATTTTACTGTATCTAAATAAAAATAATCATTAAGCTAAAATACGCACAACCTTTTTAAATTTTAACTCCACTGCATCTCAACCTTCTTAACATCAACAATATGCTTTATTCTGCTAAGTGGGGTTAAGGGGTAGATTTATTCACAATATTTTCCTTAGGCATATACATTGATTTTTATTTTTTAGACTAAAATATATATTTAATCGTCTAACGATCTTAACGAAAATTAAGGGATAACTGGGATGACATATCGAGAAAAGTCACATTTCTTAAGTCATGGATAATCTGATTGTTCACTAGTTCTATGTGGCTTTTTGCATATATAAGGAATTACATATCGGCTCAATAATGCACTCAAGTCTTCATGCTCTCCTATGCCTTCATGTAAACAGGGAAGTAACTAAGACATTTCATCTTGATTATTCAATTCTACTTTCTCCCAACCTTGCATCCACCATGACACGGATTCAATGTTCCAATCGGCCATGAATTATTTGTAAGTGTGGTTACATTCAAGTTTAAGTATCCCAAGTGATAAATAAATACTATTTTGCCCTTCAACACAAATCACACATTAAATCACTCTGAAAAGAAACAATAGAAGTTACAATTAATTACCACAAGAAACAACACATTGAATGATCAATCCAACATCCTATAATAACGGAGTATAATTTAAGATTAACTGTCCAATAAGAGCTTGTTAGGGGTTGAGTTTGGTCTTTAATATAATATATTAATTCATTTTGTATCTTATACTTATCAATTTTTTTAAAACTATTTCTATTGAGTAGTCCGAGTGATTATTTTAATGTAAATGATTTAAGAGGATATATTAGGAAAACCAACACATCTTCTTAATAAATAATGAATTTAACAAGTTTTTTTAAATTTCCTCAAATTAACTAAGTAAATCTTATGTTAAAAATAAGAGGTAGTAGCTCATGATTTTGTATGTTTGTTTACTACATTTGTTTTTTGCTCATATGCTGTAGCTATTCTACTTGCTGCATTCGCCATTTTTAGGTAGAGAGTTTTTGGTTTTTGGTCATATCATATGAATTAATTAATGATGGTTATGTTTTATCCTAAACAATTTATATTGTTAATACTTGAAAATATGCGGTACAATTTTATCATAATAACATGTCCTCAAATTTAAAGTTCAGTTTCATCCTCATTCTAGTGATAAAACTGAACCATCTAATTTAAGTTTTGAGTTCAGATTTAAAGTTCAAAAATATAATTTTTAACTAATAAATAATTTTTAATTGAAAATTAGAAATTAATTTTTAAAATTTTTCTGATAAAATAGTAAATAAAAGTAACATTAAATCTAAACCATTTAATTTTATTTTCAATAATCAAAATTTAGTGAATGATGAGCACCAAAACTCATTTTATCGATATAGATATAATAAAGCTACATTTAGTAAGTGCCTTTGATATTAATAATAAGGAGCAATTCATTTAATTTAATCGCTCTCATTTTGAGTTGAAACATATTACTATATTGCAGGACATTTTTTTAATATTGACTTCTTTTTAGGATCTCACAGTTCGAATAGCACAACCTATACCTCTGTATAAATTTTTTTTTTTTTAAATTTCTCATCCTTGTTTGCTATCTATATTGTATTACTATTCTTTTATTACAATATCATTTAATATTTTATAAAAAAAATAATAGGAAAGACTAAATGTTCATATTGATTTCCATTTTTATTTTTGAACATTTC